TAACAATTGTTTTGCAAATTTTCAAAATATGTTCACGTTATTTATTTTAAAATTGAATATGCAAATGTTAAATTTACATAATTGAATGTAATTTTCGATCGAAAAACGAGATCATAAAGTAAGGTTTCCAACCGAGAAATTGATTTGTAAACTGTTTCATAGACGCCTCGTGAATTCTCTTTTTGACACGCTTTTGTAATTTTTATTGCGCGTGTTGCGCGCGTGAAAGTGCAGAAAAGCACAGGTGAACCATGTACACGGGGGAGTTCTTCCGCTTTTAGCAATCGTAAAGTGCAGGTGCACGCGGTTGCACAATGAACAATGCATGGTGTAGCTCACACGAATGCCGTTCTTGTAACGGTCGAACTCGATCACGGAATCATTTCTTCGACGCCAAAAAGGTAAAGAAAAAAACATGAATCATGAATTATATATAATTATTGAATACAGTTTATTTGTCTGCAGCAGCTTCCTCGTGGAATATTGAATTTTAATATTTGATACACAAAAATGCATTGTGTTATGCATTTCTGTGTACATAATTTGAAAAACAATTGATTAAATCATCAATCTCTTTAATTTATTCCTACTGGCGACATCGGGGTTACACGGAATGCATGTGACCGAAGGAACCAAGTTTTGGATCGGTGAAGATCGATGCATATTTAACGCTACGGTTTGGTGAGCCCACCGTTAATTGCTATGGGTTGACGACTAGAAACATGACGTGGGTTAAATTGCTCGAGACAATCACGGAACGTTTGAATACGAATCTTTTGCGGTCCGTTTATTATCTATGGAAAATCCATTCTGTCGATCTCTTTAATTTATATAGAGAGGATGAGTATTGTAATTTTTTACACTTGCTTGAAAAATCTAAAAAACTTGCAAATTTCGTGAGATTCTCGACAAAATAAAAAACACGATTGGAAACTAACTACTGAAAAATTCATGTGCGGAGGTGTGGGCTTGTAACTCGAATATTTTCAGGGGGTAAAAAGGATATTCAGAGACACAAGGGACGTTGTTTCCCATGAAGCCAACGAAGCGCGGACGGAGGAGAGAATCGATCGCGCGTGCAAAGTTTAAATTTCGTGAATTCGATAGCTCGATCGGGTATCGAGAACGCGTGCATCGTCACGTGGACCATATGGTTCACGTGCCCCCAGCATGGAAGTAATGGGTCACGGTTACACAAAGAAGACCCTTACGAAGAGGATGAGCATGCCTTTGCTTGCGAAACTTGAAAAAGTTTATTGTTGTAAAATTCACCGACGAAAGGAAACTGATAATTTTGTTAATTTTACTTCACCAAAATCACGTCTATACTTTTTATCACGTTAACAATTTTCTGAGAATTGATCCAGACTTTGATCGCATCATTAAGATAACAACTGTTTCAAAATTCGATAAAAACACGTCACTAATGACCCATCTAGAAGGAAAGAATTTTGAAGCTTCTCTAGAACAATAGAAAAAATGAACATCCGAAGCCTTTTCTCGACAATGGAAACACGTGCCTATCGATTGTATACTTAATCCGGAAGCGAATACCAAAGGAAATGTCTTCAATGGATTCCCTCGACCGTTTGCTGTTGAATAGCGGAATATTTTCAAAAGAAAGTGCATAAAATTTGATAGCGAAAACGAACGGTAACCGAAGGATTAAAAAATTATTCAAATGACAGGAACAAAAATGTATGATCTTTCGTGGTTTTCACACGAATATTAGAAGGGTATAGTTATGCAAGGGTGGGTCGGTTCACGGAACATAAAGTTTACGCGTGAAAGCGAGGCTTTCGTTGTCCGTTTTGCATTTACGCAGGTGTCGTGTCTGCGAAAGAGAGGAAAAAGTAATTTCGTTCAATTTATTCGCTTCGTGACTACCTATTGTCTTATGCTAATCTCACGCGTTACAAGCAGGGGCTGAGGAAATTTAGTTTAAGTCAGAGTTAATGTCCGAGTAATTGTACGCAGTACAGTAGAAGAGGAATTAACTGCTCCTGTGTGTGAAATTAACTCGAAGATACGAGTAACAGTGAAATTAGTTTTAACATAGGATAACGACAAAATTAATTTTAATATCGTTCATGTAGGAATGTTTATAGGTGATCGGTCAGAAACGAGGAGAAGCAATAGAAATTCATTGTAGCGCGAAAGAAAAATGGATGGTATAATGTAATAGCGTTATCTGATGCGGCTTTCGTTCCGGTAAATTTCACCGACCACCCCGCGCCAAGGGATCCGCGCGCGGCAATAAGCGGGCGTAAAGCGTTATTACGAATTTGCATATTACAGATCCTACGCGCTTTGCTTCCCTTCTCCGACAAAACTCCGCTTCGTAAGTCCATTCGACGTTAATTTCACTTCCTCTCGCGTTATCCTGCTAAACGAGTACGTTACGAACGAGTAATCGTGGTCATCGAAATTGAACTTTACTTCTTTCGATGAGTCACCTCGTACAAACGCATTTTTTTCCTTCCGAACGTCTGTGTTCTTTATATTTTTAAACTTTCCAATTGAGCGAGTCATATAAGAGATTAGATAAAAATATTAATATTGTATTTTGAAGATTTTATCGGGAAACGATGTACCGGTATTTCGCAGTTACACGAAATGATGAAAAACCAAATAAACAACAGAAAGGCCGAGAATCGTAAACAAGATGTTGATTACTTTTAAACATTAGATTACTGGGAATTGGAAAAATAAATTCAAATTTTTCATAAAAAGATACTCCTTTTCTGAATTGATAGCCGTCGATACAGGAAGTCCACGTGACGTGTCGAACAATCGTCGAATTTATTCATCCCCTACGTTCACGTGCACATTTCGCGGTGTATTGTGGGTAACCGCTCGTCTATAAACGTCTATGAAGGTCCAGAAAGGGTTGCCGGTCCCTGAAAAGTGTCTTTGCCAGATGGTCGATTGAGCAATATCGATCGTAAGGATCGATCTGTTGAAATTTAGTTGCGATTGCGATCGCTCAATGTGTCGTTGTATGATGATCAACGGATAAACTTCAAAAGGGTTGCTGCACTATCAAGCAGATGCATCGGTATCGTTCAATGAACTGCTGCCAATTTGATATTCGTTACAGGCTATTTTTCTTTTTATGTAACGTCTCGTTAACACGTTTCGAGAAAGTTGTGCCATAATAAATCCCATGGGCCATCAATGACTCACACCGTACCCACAATGAACCACGTGTAGCTGTACTAAAGCATAGCTATCCTTTTTGAACAACGATTTCCAAACGTCCAAGGTTGCTAACTTCGCACCCTAATGAGCACCCCCGTCAAGCAGTGGTTTCTGGTCGAATTTGGAAAATTGTTGGAACGAGGAATACAATGGCCAAGGGTCATGTGTCCAGGAATTGAGAAGTTAGATCATTCTGCTCGCCGGTTTTCATGCTATTATTTCCAAACGAGCAGGACACGTCGTTTATTTCAGGACAAACAGGCAGCAGCATCGAAAGGACACGCAATCTGCTGTCGTAATAAAGCTGAGATCAGTTAGCAGAATTTTTAAAAGGGACCAAACAGAGGACAGCTGACATTTGGAATTGAATTTAGATCAGACGTAAAGTTACGACGAGCGAACTTTCGTTTTCTAAGCCCAAAAGAATTTTGGAATGATTTTATTTTATATGGAATCATGAGTCGTGGATTTGTTAATTAGCGTGATAAGGAAATATCGATATTTGATTCATTTGTTGAACACGTAATACCGACTGATGACGTACCTACTCTGTGCGTCATTATGTTATACATCCAGGAAATTGATCAATTAATCAATACCCAAAAATTTGTATTTCTTATTGTACCTACTCTGGCGAGCCGGTAGCCGGCAGAGGAAGAAGAAAAATCGGACGAAACCGTGAATTAGGCAGCTGCCTAGGAATAATGGTTGGTCAGAAAGGAAGCGAAGGGTTGCTCGCGTTTAATACACGGTTAATACGGATTGTCGTGGGCGCGTGCAACCACATCCTGTGCAATTTTTGTCACGCTCGCCACGCTTTTTTATTTTTTTATTCATCCCCTTCGTCTCGTACGCCCACGTTCAATGACTACCATGACGAAGGGTAGATGGTGGTATTAATCGAAAAATCGTAATCGTTCACGAGCCACAGAAATCAGAGGGCAGTTGGGAAAGAGGTATTATGTTGGTTACCGATAATCACTATACGCACGAGACTCTGAACAAAGAGGTATCCTGGATACAACAGAAACGAAAAATCACGGTGGACACAGCCGGTCAACGTCGGTTGCCAATCGATACTAGAATTACTCTGTAAGATCGTAAATAATGTTGGCTGTTTTAGTTCAAATGAGCTATAATTCTGATTAAGATTTTAAATCAGGCGAATCAATTAATTATACAAGTATTTAGTTGATGAACCAATTTGCTAGGGGATACAATTTATGCACAAAGAAGCTTTCGCAATCGAGCTTAAAGCATTGTTATCTGCGATTATTGATTTCTATACTGTAGCGAGATAGTCAGATAATTTTGGCGACAGTATCAATCGGTCGACGTTGAAGAACCGCGACTGAAAAGCTCTGTTATGTTTAATCAATCAAATCCTATGAAATGATCGATCAGATATAATACCATATAACGATTAAGAAATAACAATTTATTCCACCTAACAATACATTTACTGAATCATTTTTCATTGATAACTTTATACATTAAATAATTTTTTTTGCCGTAAGCTCCATTTAGGAATTTAAGTATATAACAAAATAATGATCAAAGAATTATATAATATTTTATCCTTATATTTAGAATTATATTTTATCCTTAACGACCTGTTTAGATATACCAATGTGGATGAAATGGAAGGTGAGCAAATTTATAAAAAAATATGATATCGATACAGAGGATAGATTGTAAATATAACCCATTATCTCGTTCTATTCAAAAGCAAACGATAACGTAAAAAGTATCGGTAAGAGTAGGGATACGTAATCTCGTCGTTTTATATCGACTACGTTGAACACCTTCCCTCATTTTCATCGCTTTTCTATCGTGAATATTGTGCAATATCATCGAATCTCGGGATAAACGACGGGTGATTAAAATTGTGCCATACGCACGGAATTGTGAAGAAAACATGACGCAAAAACACGTGCAACTTTTGGTTCTTGCTGCTTTTCTATGTGTTGGTGAGTTCATAGCGCAACGATACAATTGTCATTTATTCGCAAGTGAGATAATCTGATATGATCATTCTCGAAAAAGGAAATTTTTGAAGCAATACGTATTATTTTAGCGACGTGTATCAGCGTTGACAAACAACTGGAGACAAAGAAACTAAATAGAAATATTTTAATACCACGAATAGATGATAGCGAAAATGAAAAACTGGAGAACAAAAACTTCTCGTACATCGCTAAGACTAAGAGAAATATACCATGTATCTTGGCAAAAATGTCAATAAGCATTGCAGTACCGTATAAAACTAATGAGGGGGTAATAGTTTATTACTTTAGTAAGATAATTAAGGTGAATTATGATCAAAAATACAAATTAAATTTTAATTTATAGAAAGAAATTATAAAAGAGTTACCCGTACCACTTGACGCATCGACGGATGGTAGTAATTGTGCTGATGTAATATCTCAGCTGAAGTTAACTTGGAAAGAAAAAGGAGATGACAAAAACGAAAATAATGTTATTACGTTTATATTTTTAAACGATCATACTAACTTTACGCTTTTCTCCGTCAACACCAGCATTTATTTGGATGAAGAAAAATTCCCTAATGCTACACCAGGTACAATTTTTATATACTATACAACTCTAATATTTTAAATATTTCTAACCCTTTAATTAGTTAATTAATGCTCTTATGCATGTTTCCTAGATACAAAGAAACGAGTGGAGTACACATCGGAGAAGGATCTTCGTTTATTTGTAGCACCGGTGCAAAATGGATATCATAGGTGCATTAAGAAGATTAGTCAAACTGTTGGCAAACATGAGTTATTAATCAGCGATGTTACTTTAATTGCATTCAACAGTGCCGAGGATATTTCCTCGCGTAAAGGTAATAATTCATCAAGATTGTGTTAATATGAGAATGGGCTGAAACGTTCTTATCCTTGCCTCGATGAAAAGTGCGTTAAAATTAATAAAAAAAATTGAAATTTTCAGAAGCAACATGTCCTGACGAAAAAGAGAAAATTAAAACGTTCCCCTATGTTTTGAAAAAAGACGAAAAATATTGTAGTTTGGCAAGAATGTCAATTTCTTTGAATATATCGTATGCTACAAAGGATTCAAAAGTAAGTATCTTTTAATCTTGTATTATACTTACAATTAGTAATATCAATTAACCAAAATAACATTTGATCATTTTAATTTTTTTTTTTTAACTTAATGTTGTTACGGAATTTTAACGAAATATAACAAATATTTTCACTATATTTTGAATATTTTCAACTATAGGTTCAATATGGCACCAAAATTGTTCCAAGTTATGCTGATGTAAGTGGAGTGTGTGGTGACTCGTTTTCTCAGATGTTTCTAACTTGGCCAGAAAAGAATGAAATTGTATCAACATTTGATTCGAACACAAAAGGGAATGAAATCATATTTAGATTTATGAAGAATAATAGAATCGCTTCTGTTGATGCCATAGGTTTTGATATTATCTTGGACGAAAAGAATTTCCCTAATAATATTGGTGCGTGTACAAAAATCAAAACAAAGTCATTAATTTTAAAAAAAATTTTCAATCACCAAGAATTAACTATATTTTACTTTGAATATAGGAGAAAGAATCACGGGACAAACACCGCTTACATTTGATCCTATCTTCTCCACATCTGCTGATAATGGGCTGTATAGTTGCGCAAATGTAACTACAGTTAATTTTCAAAATGCCATTATGAACATTAGCGATGTGCTTTTAGTCGCGTTCAATGCCGAACAGGATTTCTCTCTAAAAACAGGTACAGTATCTTTAAAAAATTGTCAAGTTTGCGAATTTACTGGGCAACCTTCTAAGCTGTCGAGTTTTCATGAACCGAATAAAAAAAAGTATCTGTAACTTTTCAGTGGGAGATTGTAAATCGCAATTCGCCCTTTATAAAGAAAACTTCAGTTACTATGTATTAACCGAGGACACAGATGTGGCATGCATTTTGGCGAACATGACGATTGCCATGGAAATACCATACACCAAAACAGATTCGACTGTAAAATATTTAGAACATATGCTATTGACATTATTATTTCTAAAACATTGAAATTATCTGATTTTTTAACATAAACACCATTTACTGCTAGGTCGTTAACGGAAGTATTGTTCCACAAAACGTTACGGCAACCGGTACTTGCAAAACTTCGCTATCAGAATTGAATTTAGCGTGGCCAGTGCCTAACAATCAGGGGAAGATGAACACGATTACATTTTACGTTGTACAAAAAGAAAATCATTTCTCTGTGCTTCTGATAGACACCGACATTTATTTGGATGAAGTGAACTTTCCAGGTGCTCGTGGTACGTATAGAAAGTACTTAAATGATAAGAAATTTATGTTGTTATTGTACACAATTTTCATGATATTTTTAGACCAGAATAAAAAAATAAGCAAGGTATCAGAATTAGATATCGATTTGTTCAACGCTCCTGCGAATGGACTTTATAATTGCACGAACGTTCACAGGATAAAAATGGACGACAGCGAGATGAATATAACTAACGTTGTATTTGTTGCATTTAACACTGAGGAAGATGTTAGTAAGAAGATAGGTAAGATACTTCTTCACAGATTGTTTAATTTCATTACAAATTTGTATAAATAGTTATTACAAAAGATCAAGGACATTAACTTTGAAATTTTATTGATTTCCTTCATCTTACCTTGATTTTCAGTCCAAGATTGTAACAGAACAGACAACTCATCTACAACAGCTCCAACAGTTCCAACAGATCCAACAAACCCAACAGACCCAACGACTGAATCAACAATTACAGATCAACCTACAACTAAACCCAGTACGAATCCACCCCCTAAACCCGAACCTGACCCATCTGTGAAAGCATTCGACTATTACGTAATGAACCAGGAATCGACTGTAGCTTGCACTGTGGCAAACATGACGATCTCATTGAAAGTACCTTACGAGATGAAAACTTCTGGAGTACGTACTTACAAATCTCATTTATTCTCATATAGATATTATACGTTTTCAATGAAAATAATAATGTTTGACGGTTGTTGTTTGTTTTAGATTAAAACAACAAATTTGGATATGCCACATGATGTTAAAGTAAACGGTAAATGTGACGATGCATCATCCACGATAGAATTCATCTGGAAATCGACGGAGGACACTTCTGATACAATTGCCACTGAAAATGTGGTTACGCTCACTTTCAAAAAGGATGACTCTAAATTTTTTGTTCGTGCAATAAACGTTAGCTTGTACATGGACGAAAAGAATTTCCCTGATGCAAAACAAGGTACGAAATCAAGATTTATATACAGTATAATACACAATATTATGATTTCGCAAATGACTTTAATTTTAGCAAAACAAAGGCACGAGGCACTAGCGAAGGAAGTTACTTTATTTTCCACACCCCTGAAGCAACTTTTCAAATGCACTCCTCAAACCCAGGTAAAAGCTGTAGACGTCGAGGTAACCATCAGTAAAGTGGCATTGATCGCATTTAATACCGAGAGTAAGGTCTTATGGAAATCAGGTAAAATGTCTTTTCAGTGCAGACTTAATGTTTTCGTTAAACTGGTATCAAAAATTGATTCATTGAATTTTTTAGTGCAAAACTGCGTTACCGAGGAAGCGGAAAGTGATGTAGGTGCAATAGTCGGTGGTATTATAGGATGTTTTATTTTGATCGGTTTGATAGCATTCGGAATCATAATGTATAGGAAAAGAAGAAGAATGGTGTGAACAATTTTGAACTGGTATATTACTATTGTGAGTGTATTGTGAATAGATTGATATTAGGTTTAGATAAAATACAGCGTTTTCTAAATTGTTACCAGATGCATATAAAAATATGATTTTCTATGCAGATAAATTTGTCTATCTTCAATAATAGAATCTATTGTTTCATTCTTTCTATTGTTTAAAACGCATGAATGTACAATTGTTCCATTGTTGCATTTTTGTGACATATAATGTTTTACCAACACACTCACATATGGTGCTGGGAAACTGCTGGTTAATTATCCCTCTTAACGAAACAATTCGATGCATCGGCCACCCTTCATGTTCCGTCACGGTTACGCCCACCCCAATTATCTCGTTTACCTGGTAAACTTCGATACGTATTACACTCGTGCGAACGGAAATCGATTTGAATGCGAAATCGCGAAATGAGATGGCAATTTTAGGTATTTGGAAACAGGAAGCGATAGAAATTTGTATTTAAATTTTTCTTATATTCGGAGATGGGACGAACCTTAATTATTCAATAATGCCTGTTATAATAATATTTCTACGTTCTACAAAAATATAATATAATTTTTAACACGAGTCTCTCTTTTGATGCGTGCAACGCCGGAAAAGGATCGTATTTCACTGCGATTCCGGCTGAAATATTATCAAACATTGGACACACCCCCTATTTAGCACCTGGATATCGTATCACGAAACAGCAGATGCCGCAATAAAATCCACGATAATCAGCGTTAATTGCTCTGCGACGAATATTTACGATCATCGAGCGTGTATCAAACGTAATTCCTGTTTATCGTGGGAATTGAGCAACGATTACAAGAAATCTATTAACATGCCTTCCTAGAAAATACCCCAAACCCATTCAAGCTGTGCACCCTCGCAAATATATCGACGGCTACTTCCGTTTTCCCACGTTTATCACTTAGTTCTGCATCATCGATCTTTCGTCGTGCCAAAATTAATTACTACTGATATTTGTAAGGCTTAATGTTTAATAAATATTTTTTGATGGCAGTATAGAAATCAACTCTGAACCGCGTAGGAAAATTTAAATGGCCAGTGGTTACCTGAGACTGGCAAATTCTATGAAACCAAGAAAAGATTAACTGTTCGTACTGAACAATAACGAGATTTATGAATTAGGATCCGAAGGGATGAGTCGAAGGTAGAAGGTTATTAAATTTAAAGGGCAGTACTGTTAAATTTAAGTTTCATGTCATGTCCTAATAAACTTAATAAACTGTATTTTATTATTTCCCTCGCATCAAATTTTCAGTGGCAAAGCAAATAATTATATAACTCTGATTGCAAACGCGTTTTCCCGCCATTTTTTCCCTGAATGTTTTCCTTGCGACACCTTTTCCAATGTCGCGTAAAATCTTTTGAAAGCGTACCAAATTTATCAGACAGAATACCTGGCTACCTTAGAACGCGTCAGCTGTTCAAGGGTCGTCCCTTTAAAGTTTAAAGGTCTTGGAAACCCTATTATGCACCTCGTTCCTCGAGGCAGGCTCCTCTTTTATGATATCCTACCGATCGTAAGCTGCGGAAAATACCCAAGCAGCACCTTTTGCTCGAAGACGGCAAGGCAAGTTCATGGGAAAATAGGGAGGGACGCTTTTTCCCTGGTCCTTCGCAGTCTGGCAAGTGTTCCTTTCAATTGTATTGTGCCGACGTACGGTGCACAAACCAGAATGGTGCATGCTTCGATTATTATCATTCTAACTCAACTCTCCAGTGAAAATGATAAATTTGTAATATTTATATAAATATCTGTAGGAACAATTGCTCGTAATTTGGCATAATATTCTTATACATATATGTACGTAATAAAAGAAAAGAAATAAAATGCACAGGATACAAATAAAAATGACATCGGGTCAGTTGGAAATGGTTGGAGCAGATAATTAAAGCTGAAACGTTGGCATCGATAAGGGTGAAATTTGGATTCGTATCCTGTTTCGTTTCACGTCGGCAGACGGTATTCCGATATCGATAAATCTTGAAGGTCCAAAAGAAGCAGGCACGCGTGCCAGAAGGATCTGCCACGTGGCTACATCTTCCTTCCAAGAAACGATTTGTGTTTTAACCGAAACTCTTCTTCGACCAGGGTCCCTTTCCGTTTGGAGTTCCATAAACTCCTGAGGAATCGTCTGCTCTCATAGGGATCCTCTTTTCCTAGTGAAAATCGGGTGCTTGACCCTATGGGCTCTTTAACACGAATGCAATTTTATATTAAAATAATTTGTGATAATTTCTTTTTTCTTCTTTTTGAATCACCATGTAAGAATTGTACACGGCGTAGACGTGTACGTTTTAGCACAAAAAGAGAGTGAAATGCGTTAACCGACAGTATTGAAGCTTCCAGGCTTCCCGTTCTTCCTCTCCTTTCTTCGTCTTGGGACAGCAACGTTGGCCGCAAGACGTTTTGGAAGTATGAGGGCGCAGATGGGATTGTGTTTAATGAAGTTTGGCCCGAGTTGCACCTGCCACTTTCGAGGTATCTCGGACCAACGGCCGTTACACTGCCTCGAGCACACTTTAAGAAATTGGCGGGAATCTTGTTCCCATGCATCTTTGAAATTTAACGATTTCTTCCTAGTTTCATTATCAGCTGCAATTCCACACCCTTGTTTTATTTATTTATCAATCATCATGCTGTCACTTTAATAATCAATGTGGCTAATTTATTTTATCTTCAGAAATTTTTTCAATTTATACGGTTTAAAGAATAGAAAAGACCAATCGATCGTTACAAGATCGAATTCTTTTTTTATATAGAACTAGTGCTTCCCCAAATGCGTCGCTTTTTCTTCCGTCCAACGGATGTGTCCTTCCTGTTTCTTGTTGGACCGAAGAAACACGAGAACCCGTCTAATGTCAGATCGACGGAAGTTCAGTCAACGATTTAATTGCCATCGACATCTGGCTGTAACGTGACATTCAATAACCGCATCGTGTACGTTGCGTCTTATAAATATCTCCAGTAAAGGGGGAATTGAAAAATTAAGAAAAAAAAAATACAGTAGAATTTCAATATAATTTGGGACACGCCGATCGCATTTTTAAGAACAAATTGTATACTACGATTAATGAATTTTTATTGTTTTGTTATTCGCCTGGTGTATGATACGCAGGATCTGGCTTTTCGAAAATAGTAGCAGCCTCGAGGGCTGCCATTCGTCAAGCAACGTGAAAGGTTCTGCTCCTGTTTGCGGCGATTTAATTACCCTCGGCATCTGGCGATCCTGCGTTTCCTGGCCCAGCTTCTTCTCTTTTTTTCTTTCCTTCTCCCTCTCTTTCATCCACCCACGAGCCCTAACCGCTAACGTAACCGCACGTTCAAAAAAATACACCGATAAAATTCGAAACTTTTCAACAACGAAAACTGATCAGATCATTTTGTAATTTTTACAAAAACGATTGCTCAAAGTTGCTTAATATTACCGTTATTTTCCTCAGCCCCTATACCAATAACTTGACACACTTTCATGGCATTTAAAACGTATAATGATATTCAGCTCGAAACGGAACAGGTGTCAACCATCGATAAAGTGTTAAAAAATCGCAAAATGCGGAATGTATGCCGAACAACACGATGTATAAGGGCTCTGTTTCTAAGGGGAACAGCTGTTCCACCCCCTCTGGGGCGTCTTTCGAGAGATCTACTGGTATTCAGTCTATCTGAAGAAACTATCATGCGGAGGAGGTTTCGAGAGGGCACCGGTGAAGGTAGGTACGACCAGCTGGATAGGCAAGAACTTGAAAAACTTTCCGTCACGCCTTCCTTCCAGTATTGTTCGTATCTAATGCAGCTCTATTTTTTCCCAAAAAACTCTCTATACACGGCCAAATGTTTCGTTTCGCGGGGAAATTTTTGTTTCCGCCATGTCGTGGTAAAATATTCTCGTTCACTTTGAATTTCAAACTTACGATGGGGTCCACGGAGGGCAAAGGGTTAACGGAGTACGCCTGAATGTGCATTTATCAAGTGATGGTCTCACTTTCGCACGAAAAGTTAATTTAGGGTGGTGAACGAACGAGAGACGAACATCCTGTGTTAAATGTTCTCGCTGCTCCCCTTCTGTCTCTTCATTTAGTTACACGCTTTTCTGTCACGAATAAAGTAGATCAATTACTCACAATCATTCTCATAAAATATATTAAATCATCCCAACAGTTTGCATCGTCGCAAGACATTTTTTACGGTATAATTTTTTTTTTTAATTGTTTTCCACCCTCATCTACAGACGATCCAAGGGTTTTATACAGATAAGTGCCCTGAAACTTTTTAAAGCAGTAGTGTAAATCATTCGTCCTAGCACGAGCAACGTCAACAGCATTTTTCCTTCGACGGTTTATCCTTCCTCGTTGGCGTGTGCCTGAATTTATGTTGACGTCGAAATTCCAAAATTTCAAGAGCATCTGCATCCCAAACAGCTGGTGCTACGCCACCCCCTTCGTCACTTATCCTCTCGGTCGCCTGTTGACGTGGCCGATCCACAAACAAGAAATTTCCATCTGGCAAAGGAAGCTGGACTTTAACGAGAAAGGAGGCTTTCCTAAAGCCAGGTAGACGAGTGAGAAAGGATTGCGATCGAGAAGGAGCATTTATCCAAAATCTATAGAAAAATCTGTCCGGTTGTGGATCACTAGGGAGACGGGACTAAAAAGGACATCGCGGCTCGTGGCCAGGCAGATGAGCAAACGTGTTGGAATAGATCGAATTTCCTTGTAAAGGCGCACTTACATGCGAAACCCACGCCGGGGATTCTGTTTGTTTTCGGCTTCCTTGACGGGCGAACGTGCACGTGGAAAGGCGGCTTTGTTTTCTTACGCGCTCTACAGGATACCTGAGTGCACAGGTGATTGCGAACACGTCCTCCTTTGTTCGATCTTTCTCCCTCTTCTTCTTCTCTTCATCCACGGATACTTTGAGTTTGATAATATTTTGAAAAATCTTCCGTATATACGATAAGCAGCACTGATCACGCCCATGGAGTATATAAAAGAAGAAGCTATCCTTTGAACAAAAGTGTCCTTTCCTTTCTTTCGATTCAAGCACATGCCGCCAGCTGTTCGGTCAACGGTCAAAGGATTGAGTCTGGAATTTTCAAATTCCATTATTCGCGATTTCTATGTCCGTGCACGCGAGACAGCTGTTGACCAATTTTCCTTCGATCTCATCAATTCGTGCACCTTTGACGTAGCTGTGATTTATAAATTGAAATTGATCACCGAAACGGTATACCTTCTATCGCGGTTTGTTCGTTGAACAGGAACAAAAATTCGGCCAGCCTGCTAGTCACTTAAACGTATTATCTATTAGAGAGTTCAGAAGCGTGGAAAATGATCGGGCCATAATCGTCTTGGTTTCAAGGTATTAAAGGTCGGCGGTATTAACTACATCCTGACGCAGAACCCCTGCGGATCGGTTTCTCTCTAATTTTCGACCACGCACTGACGTCAATGCGTTCCCCGTGTGTTCCGGTCTGGCTGCTCGGGACCGGAAGCAACGGACTCGTTGGGGAGCGCGGAGCCTTCAAACTGAAAATCCCCCACGGATATCGATGTTCCCGCGTTTAAACGACCAAAGGAAGCAAACATTTCCTAGAGGATCAAACGTTTACAGAGCTGGAAACTGATATTGAAAAGACGTCACCTGCGTGTACAGTTCATGGTTTTTTAATGAAATTGATGGCAAAATTAATATCTTCACACGGTGCAAATTGTCGTGAAATACAAAGGTAATGATTAAGACACGCAGCGAGCATGATGTCCTCCTAATTGCACGATCATCTCACGATAAAGATGGATACGTTGCATGTCGAGACTCTGAATTGTTGCAAGAAATCTGCTAAAGCAATCACAGAGCTCGGTAATAATCGTTACGCCGGCTGACCATCGTGATCACGATGTTCACCTGTCCATGCTTTTACTCACACACGTGAGCTGCCGTGCCCGCATGATCGACGATATACGGTGTTTTTTTGAGCTCGCTTTCTGTAACGGTCGAATTTACCCCCA